GTCCCTTTATCCATCCATCTTCCTGCAGACTTTTTTTATCCATCCATTTTCCTACAGAAAAATAACCCCACTGGGAGTGTTAAACCATGGATCATGATGATCTGGGACACTGGGATGTCTCCCAGCTGGAATGTTGTGCTTATCCCTAGTCTCAGTGTGCAAATCTTCCCTGAGTGGGGAAAAGCTTGGGATAGATGGAGAAATGGATGGATCAGTGGAAGGATGGAGGTGGGTGGATCTATGGATGGATGGATTGATGGGAAGAGAGATGGATGGATGGATGGATGGATGGATGGATGGATGGATGGATGGGTAGATGAATGGATATATGGATAAATAAGAAGCTGGATTGGTGGATAGATAACTGTTAGAGGCGAATTAATGGATTGATGGATGAATGGATATTCATGAAGTTGGTGCAAATGGATTGATGATGCTGATGAGGATGGGACCAGGAATCCAATTGGAAGAGCTGGAACTGAAGGGTCACTGAAAGGCCATGTGCAGGTGGGACAGGCGGGAAGACAGTCCCTCATTCCTCCTGTGAGGCCAGTGCTTCCCAGTATGGAGGCACTTCCAGCATTTCCCACTGGGCTTTGTGGATCCTCATTCCCTGCAAAGGGAGCATCCAAACTGGGATGTCCCCTCTCAGGCAAGGCACAATCCCACAGAGGCACCACTGAATGTTCCACATTCCCAGGGCCACCAGTTGGGCTGGGAATTGCTTCAGGAGTATTTTTTTTTCCCAAGCTCTCTCGTGGAGTGACCTCTCCTCCATCCTCCCCCACAGATGGAGCCTCAATTAAATTCGGGAATCCATTTTTTAATAGGACTTTCACCTCAGCTCCCTGCCGGGCCATTAAAGCCATTATGGCAGAGTTAAGTAAGGAATCCTGGGAGCCTCTGGAGCTGTCATGCCATGTTTATGGCCCAGGCAATGTTTGCTTTATTAAAGATTCAGGAGCCATTTCCGAACGCCTCCGTTCTGTCCTTCCCATTATAGTCCAGACCCTGGCGAAAGGGTGACTGCAGGGAAAAAGAGGATTGCTCCTGAGATGGGGAAAAAAATAGGATGGGGTTGCTGGGAGAGTCTAAGGGCATGGCAGGAGCTGGAGAAAAAGGGAAGAAGAGCGGCGGGAATTTCATCCCAAAGCGGTGCTGGGTGTTGCGATGAAGCTTTTCCAGGTGCTGCAGGGTTTGGTTTTCCCTGGTTTCCAGGAGCTGAGCAGGATCCAAAGGCAAATCCCTGCCTGGCCCAGCCACACAGATTGCCCAGAGAAATTGTGGAATCCCCATCCCTGGAAGTGTTCGAGGCCGGGTTGGATGAAGCGCTGGAATAAGGCAAAGTGTCCCTGTCCGTGGAAGGGGTTGGAATGGGATGGATCCCAACCCAAAACATTCCATGATTCTGTGATCCAGCCATGCAGAGCAAGATTACACCATCTGGGCTTTTCCTGAGCCATGACGGGGTCCCCACTGACTTCCAGGTCCCTAAAATTCCCTTCTTCCCACCACAATCCTCCAGGCCATGCAGAGCAAGATGACACCATCTGGGCTTTTCCTGAGCCATGACGGGGTCCCCACTGACTTCCAGGTCCCTAAAATTCCCTTCTTCCCACCACAATCCTCCATTTCCCCATTCCCCGTCCTCCCTCCTCTTTTAGACTGCAGAGGACAGACCCTGCAAAACCACCAATATCCTGCAGAAAACAGGGATTTAAGGAGATTCCCTTCTCCATCCCTGTCTTGCTGCCAGGCCAGCTCCACCTGGGCCAGGTCTAACCTGCTTCTATATGGGAGACACTTGTTCCCATCCATGGGAATGATGATTGGGATGGGATGGGATGGGATGGGATGGGATGGGATGGGATGGGATGGGATGGAGGGGATGGATGGGAGGGGATGGGAGGGGATGGGCTGGGATGTTATTCCCAGGTTATCCCCAAGTTCCTGTGCATGAGGAGGTGGTCAAACACTCCACATGGATCACACATGGGATGGGGATAAAGGGTTATCCCCTTCCCAGCTTTTGTCCCCTGTAGGAAGCAGCTGAGGATGAGGACCCTTGGGGACAGGCAGGTCCCTGCTGTCCCTCTCTCATCCCAGCTGGGCAATTTCTGGAGCTGAGCACCCCTGGGTTCACCTGAACCCCCACCCACGTGACACCCAAGGGTGGCCAGAGGGCGTGGAGCTACTCCTGTGTCCTACATGTGACAATTTGGGACTGGGTGGCTCAGGGTGATGAGGGGATGTGGAGAAGAGGATCCAGCGTGTCCCAGCTCTGCCCTCTAGTGCAGCTCCACCAGGTGCCATCGCCACTCCTGAACCTGCTGGTGTCACCCCTGCAGGTCCCAGTCCCCCAGCCCTGGTGGCTCTGGTGGCTTCACACCCCCCTGGTGAAGCCCCTCTTGATGGCCTGATGAACTTCTCAGTTTTCTGCCACCTGAGGTGACACAGAAGGGATTTTGTACCTCCAAGGTGCTGGGGGGACAGGGCCAGGAGGGGACCTTGGACCAAGAGTTGACCTTGGAAATCTCAGACAGCACCTTGGCAAAGCTCTTAGGGTCAGCCCAGGGGAGCAATTCCCTCTCTGCATCCCCCATCACCAGGGGGATGAGGGATGAACTCTCCAGCTTTTAGGATCAGCCCAGGGGAGGAATTCCCTCTCTGCAGCCCCACAGGGGGATGAGGGATGAACTCTCCAGCTTTTAGGAGCAGGATGGTGCTCCCACTGCTTCCAGGAAAATCCCAGCCCTTCATGGGATGGGGTTTGCTACAAGCTCAGGGTGTAGCTGCACTGCAAATGTTTGGTTTCACTCCTTGCACACTTTTCCCAGCAGGATTTTTCAGGATATAGGGACTAAACCCGCTATTTATGCCCCTTTTTTTTGGGATGCACTGGACTCAAGCACCTCAGGGACACCCGTGCCCAGCCTTGGGTGCCAGCGTGGGTGGGGGGTGCCCGGCTGGGCAGATTTGGGGGGGCTGTGGGCAGTGGGTGCATTGCACAGCGTGCTGCTGCCCTCCAGTGGGCTCAAGCTGGAGAGGAGGCTGGAATTCCATACGGATGCTTGGGAAAGCAGGGGCGGGGCTGAGGATGTCCCTTCCCATGGGGTGGAGCAGGTGCCGGACAAGGGATCCCACAGAGAAATCCTGGAGCGGGAGAAATCCTGCTCTGCTCCATCCCACTGCTCCTGGACCAGGAGTGGTTGGAGGCACCTCCAGCCCCTGATCCCTCTAAAAATTTCCAAATTTATTAAGTTTTATTAGCAGTGAGAGCACCTGGCCCGGCTCCAGTGTCCCACACCAACACACATCAAGCCTCTTTTGGTCTTTTCCCTCTGTTATCCCCAGGGAAAAGCAGGAGCATGGATTTGGAGCCAGTTACAGCTCCTGTGGGTCACGGTGCCAGTGGGAGGTGAAGGCACAAGGACAGCACAGGGACCTTCTCCTCTTGTGTTGTGTCATTAATGAAGGAGGGAATCAAATCCCCTTCCCACCAGGCTGGAAGGGCTGGTCCATGGGCTGGGAGAATTTTATTATGGAAGGTGAAGCTCCAAGAGGAGGAAAATCAGGAAATTTGGGTGAATCCCAGTGGTTTTGCTGGGCTCTCCAGGATGGGATTTCCAGGATGGGGTTTCCAGGCTGTTTTCTGACTCAAAGGCCCTGGAAATCACTAGTGATTTAAAAAATCCCCAAAATCCTTTTTCCATCTCCTCTCTGGCCATAAGAGCTGCATGAACTGGTCCCAGTCTAGGATATCCAAACATTCCTTGTTTGCTAATTCCCCTGGAGCTCCTCTCTGCATGGATTAAGAAACCTCAATTTCTTGGTAAGTGTAAAGTTATTTTTGCCCTATTTTTTTTGTGGTTTTGACCACATTTTACCCTACAGGACTCTCTGCTTCCTGATCAAGCTGGAGAAGACAAGCATGGACAGATCCAGCTCCATGGATTTCAGGAAAGAGGGAAGGAGCAGCAGACTCTTGCTGATGGAGCACAGATCCCATCTGAGCACATGTCACCAGAGGGGGAGGTGATCCCAGCTCTGGAGTCACGAGTTTCCCACATCCACTGAACGTGGGTGGGAAAAGGATCTTCTGCAGCAGAACGACTTCACTGTGGGTGGCTTCCAAAACCTGGCACAGGAGGGCTGACGGAAGGGGAAACTCCTTAAATTCCAAAATTATGTCCCCCCCAAAAAAGCTGGATGCTGTTTTAACCCTGGCTTGGTAGACAGGACAAAAAAAGCTCCCACCACATTCCATAAATAAATTGAATTTTGAAAGTCCTGGCCTTGTTTTTTTCCCATTTAAGCGGTTTTAAACCCACCTTTCTCCTGTGGGATGCATGTTCCCATAATCTAGCCCCAAATCCATGGGTTTGGTCATCCTCCCAGGATGGTGGGGAGGTGGTGTCCAGGTCCCAAGGGAAAATAGGGGGTCCCATGCCAAGGATTTGCTGCTTTCCAGCCTAAATTCCAACTGATGAACTCTTCCCAAAAAAAGGGATCAGAAACCCTTTATGGAACCAAAAAAGCAGTTAAAAACCTGCTATGTGAAGCAAAAATTACTTTCTTGACCAATTCCCTTTTTTTTTAGCAGGGGAAAAGCCCCCAAAGGATCCAGCCTGAGCATCACCCTTCACTTCCCACGTGACTTCCATGAATTCATGTGACAAAGTCACTACCTCCCATTGCATCCCCCTGGAGATGGAGACCACAGCTCACCAAATATAATTTGGATACTTGGGACCTTGGTTTTCCTTGGAGCAGCCCATCCTGGATCCAAAGGATCTCTCCCAACCTCAACAGCCCCACATTTGTGTAAAAATGACCCAAAATTGACTCTTTAGGAGGATCAGCCAGAGCTTGTTTCCCATCACGGGTGGTGCATCCATAATTCCCAACAAAAGTGCTACAAACTGGATTTGAATCAGTGCTTTTTAATCCATAAAAGGTGAGAATCCATGTACAAATTAAAAAAAAAAACAAACCAAAAACCCAAAACAAGCCTGACATAAAACCCTGGAATTAGGGAAATTATCCCAATCCCACAAAACACAACCCCTTTGCCAACGCTGGGGTTGGGTGATGCGGGCAGAAGGCGACGGCTTCTCCTAAATAAATCCCTCTCCAGCTCGGAGATGTCCATGGTGGCATCCCACGTTTTTAGGATGGTGGGAAGATGCTGCCGGGATGTTTTAAGGGCAAGGTGGCCTTTTCTGTGACCCCACCCCCTCTTTTCCTTCCCGCTCCCACGCCAAGCAGCTGGGAAGATGACGTGGGAAGCCTGGCTGCTACAGATGGCCCCGTGCTGGAAGGCGGATCCGGAATCCGGTGTGTTGATGTCTCAGGCTATGGAGAGGCCTCTTGGACAACAGCGGAGCTAAAAACCTCTCCTTGAGCTCATAAAATCCCAGGATGGGTTGGCTTGGATGGGATCTTAAAGCCCATCCTGTTCCAGCCCCTGCCGTGGGACAACTTCCACCACCCCAGGTTGCTCCAACCCCGTCCAACCTGGCTTTTTTTCCTGGAAGTTTTCCTTAGATAAAATCAGGGTTAAGAGCTTGGAAAATGGACAAGCAGCCACTAGAAGAAGTCACAATCCCAGGGAACACTGGGGCCACAAGATCCCACTGCTCCTTTAAACCACCCCTAAAAATTCCTTAAAAAGTACAAAAATACAATCCCATCTCTCCCAAGGGAATTTTCTACCTCCCAAGATCATCCAAGCACTGAAGACCAGACAGATCCTCAGCCTTCAGAAAAAATAACACACCAGGCAGAAACAGGATGGTGGAAATTTTGCCAATCTGTTTTGTGGATTCGGAGTCTCCCAGCGTTTCCAGGACAATTACCAAGATGCCTGGATCCATCAGGCCAGCCCAGGAATGCTGACAGCAGTGTTAGGGAATTAGCAACATGTGCAAGATCCAACAGTAGCACAAATTTAGGAGTTTAATAATCTAGAGGAGTTATCTTCCTGGAATTTTAATCTCCTCCCAGGAAAAATAAACACCCCCCCCCCCCCCAAGGCTCTTAGCTATTAATCTCCTCACACAATATTTAGGGCAATCCACATCTCCTGATTATAAAAGCCAGACAACAACTGCACATTAAGTCCTTCCCTTTTCTTCCAAAGAATCAGGCTGGGCAGCTGGGCTGGATTTTCTGAGTCAAGCTGGGGGTTCATTCCCCCACAAAAACCCTCCCAAAAGCACTAAAAATGGTCAAACCATCCTACTTTGTTGGGATAGCCCCACCTGGGAGATGCTGCCTGGGTTGGACCATGTGATGGGATCACCACAAGTCACTGATGCCCGCACTGTCCCCTCTCCCAAAAAAAGGGAGTCTTGAAGGATTCAGCTGAAGGATTCAGCTCCTCCAGCAGCTCTTGGAGAGCAGCTCCATCTTGTACCTCGCAGAGAAAGCCCAGGAGATGCTACAGAAGGTGACACTTTTGCTTTAATGGCTGGGGCTGGCTTTGGCCAAGCAGAAGACACAAACCAGGCCCTGCTTTAGCACAGCACCCCCCGACCCCCTTGAGAGCAAAATAAAAAAAAAATCCCAAAATTAACAATAAACCCGAGTTTTCCCCAGACTGAGGGGATCCTTGGGCACAGGAGCTGGGAGGTGGAGGTGCCTCGCTCACCTCTCGGCGCGGATCCGACCTGCGGCGCATTCCCAGGTCTGGGAGTCCTCACAGCCCAGCCAGGCTTGGGAAGCTTCCTGGGCAGCCAGTCCTGGAGCTCAGGGGACACCAGGGAGCATGGTCAGTACATGGCCTCGTTGTCCCCCACGGTGGTGAAGGGGACACCGCTGTAGGTGCTCTTCTTGCTCCTCTTGCTCTTCTTGCTCCACACCAGCAGCGTGCTGGCGCTCTTGCTGTTCATCAGGCTCTTCCTGCTGTTCTCCTTGTTGCTCTTCAGCATCCCAGATCCCGAGGACAACACTGCTGCCTTCCTGTCCACCTGGTTGGGAAAGGTGGAGAGTGGCGTGAAGCCAGGGCAGCACCCAGAGAGCTCCAAGGAATTCTGTGGTTTCCTGTGGGATGTGACTTACGGCTTTGGGACATTCCGAGCCCTGCAGGGTGATGACTCCGATGTCCACCCCCTCCTTCCCGGTGCTCTTCAGCAGCTGGACAACCTCGGCATGCTTGGACCACTTGCAGTCCTTGCCATTCACTGAGATTATGTAGTCCCCCTCCTTCAGCCCGGCTTCCTGCAGGGAATAAGGGAAAACATCCAAGAGAATCTTGGAATGGTGAAGAAGAGACCTTCAAGACCATCCAGTCCCACCAGGGACACTTTCCACTATCCCAGGTTGCTCCTTGGACACTTTCAGGGATGGGGCAGACACAGCTTCTCTGGCCAACCTCTGCCAGGGCCTCACCACCATCACATCCAAGAATTTCTTCCTAATACCTATCTAACCCTACCCTCTGGCAGTGGGAAGCCATTCCCCTTCATCCTGGTACTCCATCCCTTGTCCCAAGTCCCTCTCCAGCTCTCTTGAACACCTTTAGGCACTGGAAGGGCTAAAGCTCTCCCTGGAGCCTTCTCCAAGCTGAGGAGAAGACACAACTCTGCTCCAGATATGGACCATATCCAGTCCACATCCCAATCTTTGGGGAGATCTGAGTTTTCCAAAGAGGGATGTGATCCTGCTGCTAAGGAGAGTGTTGTTCCAGAGATGCTGGGATTTGGAGGGATGGGTTGATACTGGGGAAGTGGGGACATCCTTAGGGCATCCCACCAGGATTCTCCAGCATCTTCTGATGGAAAACAAAGCTGCTCCTGTTTATTGGATGTGCCATCTTGTTCCAGCCACTGTCACATCCCAACACGAGGGGAAAGGGAGCTGGATGGGCTTCCAGCAGTTAAAAACTGAGCAAAATTCCATGTTTTCTCCTTAGCTATCTCCTAAAAATTAATCATTTCATGACGCCCACCTGCAAACCCCAGCTTGAGCTCCAGCAGGGATGAGTCTCCTCCTGAACCGTTTCAAGACCTAAAAACACCTGGAATCCCTCCAGGCAGCTCCCTTCTGGCATTCCCATGGGAATAGCAAGAAATTGGGATACTCACAGCAGCGCAGCCCCCCGGGATGACCCCGGCAATGAGGACAGGGGAGTCTCCTCGCAGGGTGAATCCAAAGCCGTTCTCTCCTCTCATCAGGTGGACTCTCCGAGCTGGATACCACTTGTTCTTGGCTGAGAACACGGAGAGGGGACCCTGGGATGAGGCAGAAACATGGAAAGCACCTTTTCAGCTCCCTGGAACTGTGCAGCCTTGTAAATAAAAACCATTCCAGGGATGGGGAGGGGGCAGAGGAAGAAATCCTGTCCTGCAGGGAAAACAGTCCCATCAACCAAGAGAAAATGATGGGGGTTGAGGCTGCCTGGATGTGGGGGATGCCACCAGGGGACGGTCCAGGAGCAGGGTGGTGAGATAGGTCACCTGTTCTTGGTCACTTTCCCCCAATTCTTTCCCATTTTCTCCTCTTTTCCATTCCCACAGGAGCAGGATATTCCTGCCTGCCCTGGGGCTGAGATGCACAAGCTCTCCCTCGGGTACTCAGGGGATGACCCCACCACAGATCCCACCACTGTCCTGAATCCCAGTCCTGCTCCCCAGCACCCTAAAAACCTAAAGAGGGTTGTGGATAAAGCTCCAGTGGGATCTTCCTGGTGCCTCCTGCCACCAAAACCCTTCTTCCCAAGGATCTCTTGGGAAAAGCCCACCCAAAATTCCTGTGCCTGCTCCCCTGTCACCAGAGGAGCCTTGTGACCCATTTAGGTGTCACAGACAGATCCCAGCCCTCCTCCTGCTGCTTTTCCTTGCAAAACTGCTGGAGAGAGGGAGAAGAGGCTGCGGGAGGAAGGAATCCAGGCAAGCAGAGAATGCAGGGGAGGAGGAGGAGACGGCTGCTCCCTCGGGATATTCCCATTCCTGGAGCTGTACGTACCAGCCTGTGGAAGAGGTCGGTCACCTTCACCTGGGAGAAGTTGGGGGATTTGATTTCGGGTTTCTGGTGCGTTTTGGCTGATGGGAGGGAGAGAAAAGCACAGACAGGGGTGACCTCAGGCAGCTGGGGCAGCTGCTGCTGTCCCAAAGAGAGGCTGAGCTGTGACCCTGTAAGAGCCAGGACCTAAAATCCTGGAATAGTTTGGATTGGAACTCAGAGATATCCAGGCCAACCCCCCTCCACAGAATTCCCCATGGAGTCTTCCCACCCACAAACCCCCTCCCCAGCCACAATCCCAAAAAACCTCCACTCACGATGGATGTCCGGAGCCTCTCCCGTCTCAAAGAAATCCTCCTCGTGGTCGATCTCAGAATATTTGCTCAGGGAGCGTTTGTGGGCGAAGGACAGGACCTCCTGCAGGATATCCATCTTCCTTAGGATCTTGCACAATCCGTGGATCCTCATGGCCTCCTCGTGCTTCATGATGGCTTTTTTGAGGTGAGCTTTGCCTGCGAGGGAGCAGAGGGAGCTGAGCCCGACGGAGCGGCAGCTCCGGCGCCGTTCCCGCTTGGCTGCCCACGGATTTCAGGAGCGGTGCCACCACCCCGCTGTGACTCAGGGACAGCCCAGTCACGTTCCCAGCCCTAAATGGGGTCGGTCCCAGCCGATGGAGGGCTGGGAAGGGACCTTGAAGGGTGACCTACTTCGCTCCCCTGATGGCAGAGCTGGCAGATGTTCCTGAAAAACCACCCCTGACGTCCCTCCTCACGCTTAACCTCAATCTCCTGAGCAAATTAACTTCTCTCCATCGCCTCGGATCCCTCGGGAATGGGAACTTGCAGAACAACCCAGCCCCGTCCTCCTTGGGAAGGTGCAACGCATCCCTGTTTTCTAGGCTAAGCCTTTTCCTTGTCCTGGAGGTCCTGCTCTCCATCCTCTGCTCTTTGCCCCTCTCCACTTGCCTTCAAAGCGTTCCCACCCTCGGGAAATGGAAGTGGTCAGGAAAGTGGAGCTGAAATTCCAGTGACCCACGGATATCAACGCAAATCATCTCCTCCGTGGGAAACTGCAACCAAGGCAGCCGTATCCAAGGCTAAACTCCCAGAAAAGCTCTCTCCGTGTGTCTCATGGAAACACGTGTGCCTGTGGCATTTCACGTTCAGGACACACGGTGGCAACAGAATCCAGGGATATGAGGTCTGCTCCAGACTCCTGGAATCCACAGCCAGAGGAATTTAAATACCAAGGGAATGTTTTGGGGTTGGATGGAAAACAGAGAGGAGACTCCCCCCACGAGAATTTTTTATCAAATCTAGAAATTGTGAAAATATGGGGAATAATAATAATAATAATAATAATAATAATAGTAATAATAGTAATAGATTCATGGAATGGTTTGGGTTGGAAAAGACCTTAAAGCTCATTTCATTCCAACCCCCTTCCATAGGGAGGGACACCTTCCACCATCTCAGGTTGCTCCAAGCCCCGTGTGACCTGATCTTGGACACCTCCAGGGATGGAGATCCACCAACCTCTCAGAGTTTTTCCCTTCCTGTAAAGCAAATCCAAGCTGAGCTTGGTGTCTGCACATCTATTTTTTACCAGGAATGTTGAACAGAGCCCATTTTCCCCAGGAAAATCAGGCAGAGCTGGAAAAGCTGATGCAAACCACATCTGAGGGTGCTGGGGTGCTGTCACCATAAAACATTTGGATTTTGGGGTTTATGTGGAGGTTCCCAGTGAAACCTGGCTGAGCATCCTGAAGGATTTTGCTGAGGCCAAACTCATTCCTGGTGGGATCTGCCTCCTTCCACACGTGTGCAAGGAGGGAAGAGAGCTCCTGGGGGAGGCAACACCCCAAATTCTGAGTGCTGAGTTTGCTCTTGGTGCAGCCCTGTTGAGGAGGGGCTGCCGAAACACGACTTCAGCTGAATAAGCAGCGTCTGTTCTTTCCCTGGAGCTGAAAACCCACATGGGAAGAAGTTCTTGTCTCCCAAGAATTCGCTGCAGCTGAAAAAGCCACCCCCTGAGCATCTGCTGTGTCTTGTTTTCCAGCCAAGTCAGCCCAAACCAAGGAGCTTCCAGGATCTCTCTGTCCCTATGGATTTCTCTGTAGTTTTGGGTGAAGTTACCTGGCTCAGAAGACCTGGAATTTTTCCTGTCAGAGGTGGACAGGTAGGGACAAGCACCACGAGTTGCTCCCCATAAACACCCTTAAGGGGACTGTGATGTTCTCCTGCTTCCCAGGAGAATAAATCTCCTGACAAATTCCTCCTTGCATGCAGAGATTCCCCCTAAAACCTCATCACCTGTGGGAATTGTGATGGGATCCGGAAATTTGTGCTCACCCAGCTTCCTCCTCTCCTCAGGATCCTGCAGCAGGACACGAAGTGAAGGCCCCTCTGGCATGGTGACATGGAACTGCAGGAAAGCTTTCTCCTGCTCCAGCAGCTCGGCATCCGAGGGAGCTGTGGGAGGGAAATGGATGGGGATGGGATGGATTAGGGAGAGGTCAAGACCACCCAGTCCCCCGTGGCAGTGGGGACAAAAAAGCCACATCCACATTCAGGTGGCCCTGGCAGCACCTTCCTGTCATCCAACCACAGCCTGCAAGGAATCAGGGATGGGCCCAGGGATGATCCCAGTCAGGGATGCACCAGGATCTGAAGTTAAGGGCAGGATTTGTCCTGAACACAGCTTTTTTTCCTCTTTCCTGCCTTCCTTTGCTCCAGTGTGGAAGCAGGACTGGGAATGGAGAGCCCTGGGATTTCCCCACCTGGAGGTCACTGACAGGGAGACAAATGAGACAACAAAATCAGGGAATCATGGAATGGTTTGAGTTGGATGGGACCTTCAAAACCATCCAATTCCAACCCCTTTCCATGGGGAGGGACACTTCCACTTGGCTGCAAGCCCCTGCCATCCTGGCCCAGGATAATTCCAGGGATGGGGCAGACACAGCTTCTCTGGAAATTCCAGTCCAGAGCCCCACCACCCACCCAGGGAAGAATTCTTTCCCAATATCCCACCTATCCCTGCCCTCCGGCAGTGGGAAGCCATTCCCTGTGTCCTGGCACTCCATCCCTTGTCCAAAATCCCTCTCAATTCTCCAGGAGCTCCTTGAAACACTGGAAGGGGCTTTAAGGTCTCCCTGGAACCTTTTCTCTAGCTCACAGTGCAACCAAGGGAGTCATTCCATGGAAAAACAGAGATGGATGCAGCTCTCCCAGGCTCTCCAAAGCCCACACTTGAAAATCTCACTTTTAAACTGTTTTTTTCTAGCCCAAATTGTTCCTAACCCTCTTTGGCTCACTGAGGGCTGCATGGCAGCCTCTTTCCCTGGACACAGAGTGGGATAAGAAACAACCCAGAATATTCCTGGAAGTTTTGTTGCTCCCAACAGAGGATCTCAAAGCCTGGTAGGCATAGGGATGCAGAGGATTGGGAACTGGCAGCTCCAGGGCTGGCTCTCCCTGTGCCAGCTCCTGCCATGTCAGCATCCCTGAGGGATTAAACTGCAGCGTAAGGAATTTATTCCCAGCTGGTTATGGAAGCAAAAGATTTGTTATTCTGACAAGGGAGAAGTGGGAACAGGAACATGAGATCCCAACAGCAGGCAAAAAATTCCAAAATTAGGCCTCTCCTGCAGTTTTCTGCTTCCCACAGTGCCTAAGGACACAAAAAATTTTAGGGGGAAAGTTTGCCCTGCCCCTTGGTATCCCATGGAATTCCATCTCCACCATTGTTCTCTCTTGTTTGGATCTTTAAGCCTTTCCAGCTCCACATTCTCCCCCTCTCTCCCATCTCCTTGCTCAATCCAGCTTCTGCAACGCCCACATTGCACAAGGAAGATTTTGGGCAGGCTCTGGAGCGGGGGAGGGTGTGAGGACAGTCTGGCAGCCACTGGTCACAGCACTGGTTTTGGCAGCCAGCCCTCAAAAAGTTTCTCAGCCACCCACCAGGTGACACCAAAGGTCACCAGGAGCATCTGCTGCCCACCCCCAGATCCTCTGCTCCATCCCAAAATTGCTCCCAGGGTGTCGGTGGTGGCACAGATGGAGATCAAGGGTCACATCTTGAAGTCACGCTCCAAGTGACTCCATGGAACCATGTGTACCTCGCTGCCCGCACCCTGAGATTCCCAGGACATCCATCCAAGAGGCTAGAAGTTAAATCCAAGGTATTTTTGGATTTATTTTTGATTTTTGAAGTCCTCGGCTGATCCAACACAAGGTGACCCTTCTTTCCCCACCCAGCCCCAAAGGGGACAGCAGGTGACATCCCTCCAGCAGCTTTTTCCTCCCCTTCTTAGGACTTTTCCCTGTGGAAACCAGAAGTATGGGATAATCTGCCTTGGGGATGAATTGCTGAGTCCATAAAGAAGATCCATGGCTCAGAGAATTCCAAAAACTTCAGGTGTTACATCCATAACCTCTTTTTTTTGAGAATCCCTCCCCAAAACCCTGGAACCATGTGGAATTAGTACTTGGATGAGCGGGAAGCTCCCTCCAGGCCAGACACTCACCGGGGCAGTCGCAGAGGGCGATGGCAGCGAAATAATGGGAGAGGGCTTTGAAATGCTCCGACTTGACTTGGACCATGGTGGTCCAGGAGAAGGGAACGTAATCCTTGACGTGGGGCTGGCTCATGGTCTGGTGCACCAGGGAATAAACATCTTCCACCTGGGAAGAGGGAAGAGAGAAGAGAGAGGATGCAGGACATCCCTCAAGTTGTGCTCTCTGGGAAGGTTCTACTGACCACAAAATCCCACCAAATCTTCTCCTTCCCAAAATCCTCACCCTTGCTGCCTCCTGAGCCAGCTGCAGGCGGGCCAGGAAGTCATTCTGGGCACGCAGCAAGGTCATCTTCTCAAAGACACACTCCTGGACCTGGGCCACCATCAGCCTCACCAGCATGGTCAGGGAGGCCGCGCTCATGTCCAGGCTGGGAGCGTTGGAGAAGTTTTCCTTCAAGTAGTTAAAGGCACCTGGAGGAGAGAGAAGCTCCTGGAAGTTACCAGGCTTGTGAGGAAGAGAATCAAACTTTGGGATCAGGCAGGTTTCCCTCCAGGAACATCAAACATCTCACCATCACTGGTGGGTAAGAAGATCTGAGGTCCAGCCCTTGCCATCTAAACCATCCTTGTGCCCAATTCCTTCTCCAAAGCCCTGGGTGATCCCAGTTCCAGGCTCCATTTTTTTCTATGGGGAGATGGATCAGCATCTCTCCTCTCCACACATGGGACATCCTTTTGGATGTCATCCTTTTGGATGTCATCCTTTCTGGCTGTTGGACCATCCCAACTCCTCTTCCCAATCCACACAACCAATGTGGAGCTACCTCGCGCTCCATTTGTGATCCCTTGGGAACACTTCTTCCTACGACTGCTCCCACCCATTCCTGTGCTACTGTGGATCATTCCCACCTTGGGAAAAGCTTCTTGTGAAGAAGAGGAAGAGGGGAAGCCACTCACCAGCTGCCTTCTGGAAGGCATCGATGGCCTGGTTGAGGCCGGGCAGGGAGGCGCGGTCCTGCCGCGCTCCGATCTGGGTGTGCAGTGCTCCGAGGTTGAAGAGGACGCTTCCCTTCTCGAAGGCCAGAGCCCTCTGGTGGGATGGGACCCCTGTCAGGGAGTCGTACCTGGAGAAGGGAAGAGCCAACAGCTGCCCATGCCCTGGTCATGGTCCCCAAAGTGTCCCTGTCATGGTCCACAGAAAGTGTCCTCACTCATGGAAAGGGTTGGAACTGGATGCTCTTGAAGGCCCTTTCCAACCTAAACCACTCCATGATTCCCACGGATGCAGGAGGAGCCTGAAGGGTTTTCAGTGCTTAGGTGGGTTTGCAGGCACCATTCCCATCATGGTACATCCCATGGGACTTTGTGTTTCCCTCTCCCTCCCCAAATTAATCCACCAAGGGCAACAGCAAATCCAGACCCAGGTGTCCACCAGCCCCGGCAGAGATTCCATCATGGAAATTTGGATCCTGACTCCCTCCCCACTCAGGTGGGATAGGGAATGCTGCACCCACCAGTGGAAGAAGACTCCCAGGGTTTTGGTGGGAGGGAAGAACCGGCTGTCAAGGAAGTAGAGCTGGTTGTAATATTCCATCAGGAGCTCCAATCCGGCCTCGTTGCGGCTCGGGGTGCGCATGGCCTGCGGGAATGGGAGAGGAAACAGGGATGGGAAAAGAGAGACAGGACACAGGGAATGGATTCCCACTGCCAGAGGGCAGGGTTAGATGGGATACTGGGAAGGAATTCTTCCCTGTGAGGGTGGTGAGGTGCTGGGATGGAATTCCCAGAGAAGCTGTGGCTGTCCCATTCCTGGAAGTGTCCAAAGGCAAGTTGGACAGGGCTTGGAATTGCATGATCTTTAAGAGCCTTTCCAACCCAAAGCATTCCATGACTCTGAGTTTCAATTGTGGGAAAAGTTTGGGTGCTAGAACACCCAAATGTGGAAGCAGCAGCCTGGGAGTTGTGCTGGAAAAACTCATGGAAATTCTGATTTTATAAATCCTAGGGAATAAACAGGATTTTTCCCCCTCCTTCCCCAGACTGTTTTAAATTCCCTCTACTCCAAGGTATACCTGGAGAAAGAAAAGTTGTTCAGCCTTGCCAGGGGTGAATTAATATTCATAAATAATGATTGTACTATAAATTTTATTGCTGCTCATTTGCAGGTCAGCAGGGCATTGAGGATAGGGAAAAATGAACAATTGCTGAATAATCTAATATTTTGGAACCTATAAATAAGTCCAAGGTGCTCCAGCTGCACCCTGAAATACAAGGATAAATATGGAATTTGGAGAAAGGATGAGGGAACCCCCTCAAAGGAAATGTGGCATCTCCAAGGAGTGATCCTGGACAAGGCAAACTTTGGAAGCCAAGGGACACCAACCTGTCGCAGCTCCATGAATTCCTTGATTTCCTTTTCAAACAGTACACCCTCCTCTCCATAGTGCTCACTGATGAAATCCTGGATTGGGAAACAGAAGAAAATCCTGTTTTTTATTATTTAAAGGGAGATTTCTGGCGATTTTGCGTAAGAATTTTCCACTTCTGCCCACAAGAAAACCTCCACTAAGTAATAATCTCCTCCCTTTCCTGCTCTCCAACATCTCCAGACCTTCATCTCCCATTTTCCCACGTTTTAAGTCTAGTTCCTCCCCATTAATTTATTTTTGGCAGCTTTTCTGAACTGGAAAATGAATTTCAGCTGGTCCAGCATCGATCAATGAAACCCCAAAGCTCACCTTTAGTGGTACCAGCAAATCCAGCTCCTTGGTCTCCTTGAGTCCCAGAGGGATCATGGGAACGCTGATGGATTCACTGGAAGAAGACAAGAACCTGTTTGGTGGTTGGATTAAAAATCTTGGATGGATCCTGTGGGTTGGAGATTAAAAGGAAGCAGCTCCTTGCCCTGGGCTGGTGCTGCTCTTATTAACAGACTCCACTTGGAAAAATGCTCTTCCCAAAAAGACTTGGGAATGGCAGCATAAGAAGGTAGGTGCAAAAAAAAAAACAAAAAAAACCAAAACCCTATTTTTCCAGCTCCTGCTTTTCAGAGGAATCCTGGATGTTTGGTGGGCAGGGCAGGATCAAGACCTCACCACCACAACAGCCCCCTCTCATTATCCCCCCAAATTGCTGGTAACTCATTAATCAATCATTAACTGGGGAGGAAAACAGGCAAAGGAAGTTATGAAAACCAGGAGAGCAAGACAGGGTATTTTCACCCACATTTTCCTTGGAACAAACAGCTCCAGGAGCTATAATTAGTGCAGAAAGCCATTACTGCTCATTTCCTAATGAGAATTCCACTGGAATCCAACGTCTGGAATAAACAAAGGGGTTTTTGTTTGGCCTGGGCATGGTTTGGGGTTGTTGTTGCTACTCCTGATTTCTTTTCAAACCAGGGCAAGCAAGTGGCAAATTGGGAAAACTGAGCATCCCTGATAGGGAATGTGCCTGGAAAAGCACGTGGATGGACACAGAAATGTGGAATCCTGGAATGGTTTGGGTTGGAAAGGGCTTTCCAGATCATCCATTTTAACCCCTGCCGTAGGCAGGGACACCTTCCACAGGAGCAGGTTGCTCCAAACCCCATCCAGCCTGGCCTTGGACACTTCCAGGGATTGGGCAGCCACAGCTTCTCTGGGAATTCCATTCCAGGGACTCACCACCCTCACAGAGAAGGATTTCTTCCCAATATCCCATCTAACCCTGCCCTCTGGCAGTGGGAAGCCATTCCCTGTGTCCTGTCCCTCCATGCCTTATCCCAAGTCCCTCTCCAGCTCTCCTGAGGCCCCTTCAGGCACTGGAAGGGGCTCTGAGGTTTCCCTGGATCCTTCTCTTCTCTAGGCTGGACATTCCCAGCTCTCCCAGCCTGGCTCCAAAGCAGAGGGGCTCCAGCCCTTGGAGCATCTCTGTGGCCTACTCTGGATCTGCTCATGCTGTTGGAGCCCAGAGTTGGATGCAGAATTCCAGGTGGGGTCTCACCTGAGCAGGCCAGAGGGGCAGAATCCCCATTTTCCTGCTGCCCATGCTGTGGGATGAGCCTGGGACAGGGGGGATTTCTGGGATGGGAGCACACATGGATGACGCTTTTCCAGCTTTTCATCTGCCAACACTCCTAAATCCTTTCCTCAGGGCTGCTCTCCACCGCTTCACCCCTCAGCCTGGATTTGTGCTTGGAATTGCCCCATCCCAGGTGCACGATGTTGCACTTGGCTTTGTTGAACCTAATGACATTCATCTTGAGCTTATCCAGGTCCCTCTGGATCATATCCCATCCCATCCCATCCCATCCCATCCCATCCCATCCCATCCCATCTCTCAGCCATGTCACCCACACAACACCTCACGCTGCCATCAATTTCAGGAAGGGAAAAGGAGGAAAAGAATCCCAGCATCCCAGAATTGTTTGGGCTGGAAAAGACCTCCAAGATCATTGAGTCGAACCCGTGACTGATCCCCCCCAGCCCAGAGCACTGGGTGCCACATCCAGTCATTCCTTGGGCACTTCCAGGCGTGGTGATTCCCATCACCAAAATGTCCTGTTGGTAAGAGCTCTGGTGGGATTGTCAGGAAAGGGGGTCAGTACAAGGGAAGATGGTTCTTTCTTCCCTATTCCTCTTGCTTTGAGACATCAGTGTCCAAAGGATGCTCCATCTATCCCAAAACATCCCAGTATCCCCTAGGAAAAGCTGATTTTTCTCTCCTTGCAGCTCTAGACAGGAACCACTGACATTCCCAGGATGAAAATCTTCCGGGAATTCTGGCCCATGCCCAAATCCTCTAGCCATCACCTCGTTGTCCCTGACCATGGAAAGGTTTGGGTTTAAGGGAACCTCTGAAGGTTCCCAACCCTCGGCCATGGGACCAGAGCAGGGCAGACAAGGGAAGAGCAGCCTTGTTCCCAGAAAAATTCCATAACAGTGGGAAAAAATGAAATCCCAGGGGAACAGGCTGCTCTTCCCAGACCCACCTGTCGTTCTGATACACGTCCACGCTGCTGTTGAGCTCTTCCAGCTCTTCCTTCAGGAGCTGAAGGTTGGAGTTGACGTAGCTCAGCTCCAGAGCCACCGTTTCCTTCACCTTGTGGTTGCTGGTGGCCCTGCAAGAAACCAATGGATCAAATTTCCCTCTTTTTATCCATGAATTTATTTTTTCCTCTCCAGACTCCGTTACCCAGTGGTGCAATCCATGTTGAGCCCAACCTTCCCAAAAGACTGTGCCTCTGGTTCCCCAGGTGATGCTGGAAAGGTTTGGATAGGACCTCTGAGGGTCATCCCATTCCACCTGCCAGGGGACACCTTCCATGATTGGAATCCCAGGTTGTTCCAAGCCTCATCCAACCTGGCCTTGGACACTTCCAGGGATCAGGCAGGCACAGCTTCTCTGGGAATTCCAGTCCAGGGACTCACCACCCTCACAGAGAAGGATTTCTTACCAATATCCCATCTATCCCTGCCCTCTGGCAGTGGGAAGCCATTCTCTGTGTCCTGTCCCTCCATCCCTTGTCCAAAATCCCTCTTCAGCTCTCCTGGGGCCCCTTTAGGCACTGGAAGGAGCTTTGAGGTGTCCATGGAGTCTTCTCCATTTTGGACATTCCCCACTCTTGCAGTCTTTCAGGATTAAGGAAGTCTGAACATCCAGGTAGAGGCTGAGCCCAGGGAAAACTCATTGCCGTGCTGCATCCAGGAATTCCTGCTCCAGAGCCACCTTCCCCTTGCCAATTCCCACTTCACCTCCAGTGCAGTTTCAGCTTGGGCTGTGACCAGTCCAGGTGCTCCCCCATCCCAAATAAATGATGGGATTTGAGGAGGAAAAACTCAATTTTGGGTGCAAAGAATCCTTGTGGAAAAGAAAGGATTTGTGAGCCCCTGCCCTCCCTTTCCCGCTCTCAGCAGGAGCTGTAAACACCAGGGATTGATTCCAGCTGTTCCCAGCAGGACATGCTCCCAGGCTGATTATTCCCTGCTTATCTCCTCAAAAGAAAGCAGGGAGAGATAACCCAGAGCTGAAAGGGGCTCTGGCTGTTGAACCACGCTGGGATCCAGGGAAAACAACACATGGACAAGCTCTGCTACACCAGGAAACTGCATCCCTCCAGTTTTTCCAGAGTATGGCCTTTGACATGGATTTTTTTATGGATTAAATCCTTCTGGGTCCTGCCCTGCCCTGGTTCAGGGCAGTAGAAGGAGCTCCAGGGTTTTCCTCTGAAAATCTGCTGGTTCAGAGTCTCCTCCTGCCTCTCCTTTGCCAGGATTTTCCAAGACCAAGGAATTGTTTGATTCCAAATACACCAAACCACAGCACATCCAAAGATCCCCATGGCTGCTTCCAATGAAAAATCCTTCAGCTTTCCTGCAATTCCCCAGGCACCGCCACCCTATGTTTCCATATAAACCAGTATTTAATCCCTATAAACCAAGACTTAATTCCTATTTATCCCCCCCACATCCCAACACCTCCAGGACACTGTCAGTCTGATTTTCATCCCATATGGATTAAGTTTTCCCTCCTTGTTCCCAGCTGCCAACAATTTTTTTGATTCTCAGCAGGTCCCTGATTATTTTTCAGGTGTTTTAGCACAGTTTTGAGGATCTGCTCCATGATTTTGCTGGGAATCTGTTAACAGGAAAAAGGTTTTCCTGAGGTACTTGCAAGTGCCACACATAGCAAATAATCCTGGAATGGTTTGGGTTGGAAGAGACTTTCAAAATCATGAAATTCCACCCCTCTGCCATGGGCAGAGGGGGACACCTCCATTATCCCAGGCTTCTCCAAGCCCTGGCCTTGGACACTTCCAGGAATGGGGCAGCCACAGCTTCTCTGGGAATTCCATCTCCACCCCTCACCACCCTCACAGCCAAGATATCCTTCTCAATATCCCATCTAATCTCACCCTATTCCAGTTTAAAGCCATTCCCTGAGTCCTGGCCCTCCATCCCTTGTTCCAAGTCCCTCTCCAGCTCTCCTGGAGCCCCTTCAGGCACTGGAAGGGGCTCTGAGGTTTCCCTGGATCCTTCTCTTCTCCAGGCTGGACATTCCCAGCTCTCCCAGCCTGACTCCAGTCCTTGGAGCATCTCTGTGGCTTCCTCTGGATCTGCTCCAGCAGTTCCACATCCCTCTGCACTTGGTCCCCAGAGCTGGATGCAGAATTCCAGGTGGGATCTCAACTGAGTGGGGCAGAGGGGCAGAATTCCCCTTTTCCTGCTGCTCACACTGTGGGATGAGCCCAGGACACTGGGAATTTCTGGGATTTATTTTGTGATTTACTTTTCTTTCACTCCAAAAACCTGGACATTTTTATCTCTCCCATTCCTCCACTCCATCCCAGTGTTTGAACAGGAAGGAAAAGGTTTCCTCTGGCTCTTCCCATTTATTTACCCAGCAAACAAATCCACTGAGCAAATACCACATGGATTTTTTTTTTTCCAACACTCCATTCCTGCCAACTTTTCCAGGAAAAAACATGGAAAGGGTGAACAGGATTATTTTTACGAAGCACTGGGCTAGTTTGTTTTTAAATTTAAATGCAAAATCCCAGCAAATTCAGCTCCAAACTGCTCCAGGCTGGCCAATCCATAGTTTTTTCCATCAGCACCAGGCTAAAGATCCAAAGGAATTTTATCCATGCACCACAAATCTTTAATTTTGAAGCAATAACCTTTAGACTTGCAACATAATCCCCCCCTCCTCCTCATCCTTTAATTTCAAGCTTGATCATTCCTTTTTCTCTCCCCCCGCTAGATTTCCGAAGTTTCATAAGCTTGGAGCATGGGAATGCCGAGAAATCAACTTTATTACTCAGCTGGATTTGTGGGAGGGAGGAAGGGAGGGAGGGAAAGTGGCTGCTCCAAAGGACACCCAGCGTGCTGAGCCAGCAAAAAAAGAACCCCCTCAGTGCATTTCCCTGATAATTAAGACGTGTTTTGCATCCCGTTTTTCCTCACTCCCACAGCTCCAATTCCAACCTAAACCGGGCTGATTTCTGCTGAGCCAGCACATTTCCCTCAGTTGTTGGTTTGGTGTGGTTTTTTTTTTTTTTTGGTTTTTTTTTTGGTTTTTGTTTTTTTTTGGTTTTTTTGGGGTTTTTTTGTTGTAATATAACACAGGAGAGGCAGAAGTTGGGATTCCGTGGCTTTTTCTCCTTAATTAAATGAGGCACAGCAGCGTGGATGGAGCAGTAGGATCTCATCCTCCAGGAAAACACCATTTTTTAAATGGATCAACCATTATCCCCTTCTTCCAGGTGCAACAGGAACACTCCATTGATAAAATCAATTAAATCATTCCAGTTCCAAAGTGGAAAGTCAATTTGGTTTTATTTTAATTGGGATAAAAACAATCAACAAGTTAGTAAAATATTCCCAAAAATTTGTATTTTAAGGCAGATTTATGGAATTTTTGATATTTATGACCTGCCCAGCCTGGAATGTGCTCCAAATATTAAGAAAAAATGAAATAAACACAAAAGATGCTAAAAGAAGTTGTCCTTGGGGACAAGTGGTGGCCTTGGCAGTGCTGGGGAATGGCTGGACTCTATCCTGATGGGATTTTCTGACCTATTTATGATCCTAAATTGGATTTCATGGAATGGTTTGGGGTAGATCTTCAGAAACCTTCAGTTCCACACCCTGCCTTGGGAAGGGACTTTTCCTTATCCCAGGTTGCTCCAAGCCCCATCCAGCCTGGCCTTGGACACTTCCAGGGATCAGGCAGGCACAGCTTCTCTGGGAATTCCATTTCAGCCCCTCATCACCCTCACAGCCAGGAATTCCTTTCCAATATCCCATCTATCCCTGCCCTCTGGCAGTGGGAAGCCATTCCCTGTGTCCTGTCACCCCATCCCCTGTCCCAAGTCCCTCTCCAGCTCTCCTGGAGCCCCTTCAGGCACTGGAAGGGGCTCTGAGGTTTCCTTGGATCCTTCTTTTCTCCAGGCTGAACATTCCCAGTTCCCATCCTGGTTCCAGAGCAGAGGGGCTCCAACCCTTGTAACATCTGGACTCCAACAGCTTCATATCCCTTGGATCCACTCGCTACGTTTTCAGACCAGAGCTCTGCATTCCAAGCCCAACCTAGCCACAAATTTATTCCCATTATGCCATCTGCTCCCATCCTGATTTTCAACAATCTTCCACCAGCTGAATCTTGGATACCAAGACTCTATTCCTGCCTCCAACCAAATTCCAGGGCCAGGGGGATGCCCAGGGGATCAGGACTCACCGGAAGAGGTTTTCTGCTCCCGCTCTCATCCTCATTTCCTTGTTGATCTGTTGGTTGATCCGGGCCCGGCGGTGCTGGAGTTTGCTGCGCTGGGTCTGGGCAAAGGGGTCACAGCCCTGCTGAGAGACAAGGGGAGGTTCTCATCCCAAATCCATGTTTTGGGATGCCAAAGATCCATCAATTCCATAAATTGTGCCCTTTCAGAGCCCAGAGTCAGCGAATGCTTTAGGTTGGGAGAGAGTTTCAAAATGATGGAATTCCACCCCTTGCCATGGGCAGGGACAACTTCCTCTATCCCAGGTTGCTCCAAGCTGGCCTTGGACACTTCCAGGGATGGGGCAGCCACAGCTTCTCTAGGAATTCCATTCCATAGCCTCACCACCCTCACAAGGAAGAATTCCTTTCAACACCCCATATAATCTCACCCTATTCCAGTTTACAGCCATTCCCTGTGTCCTGGCACTCCATCCCATGTCCCAAGTCACTCTCCAGCTCTCCTGGAGCCCCTTCAGGCACTGGAAGGGGCTCTGAGTTCTCCCTGGATCTTTCCCTTCTCCAGGCTGGACATTCCCAGCTCTCCCAGCCTGGCTCCAGAGCAGAAGGCCTCCAGCCCTTGGAGCATCCCCGTGGCCTCCTCTGGAATTGCTCCAGCAGCTCCACATCCCTCTGCAGTTGGAACCCAGAGCTGGATGCAGAATTCCAGGTGGGAATCTCACCTGAGTAGGGCAGAGGGGCAGAATTCCCCCTTTTCCTGCTCCCATACTGTGGGACGATCCCAGGAATTTCTGGGATGTGATCACGTGGCCAGGTCACATTGAGTTTCTCTCCTCCCAGTCCTTCCCCTGCCCCTAGAATAACCATTTTATTCCGCAATCCCATGTGTTGCCAACAGGGATTTCTTTCCCTGAGCTCTTTCCAAACTCAGCCCTGAACAGGAATTCCCTTCCCAGGCTGTGGACATGAGCCAAGATCCAGGGGAGCTGGAGATGAGCTCAATATGACCCCAAAGCTCAGGAAGAAATGTGATCCCAAGGCCATATCCGGGATGTGAAGCACGGGGACTCAGGAGTTCATGGGGATGCAGGAATGAGGGGCACACGACACTAAATTGATTCCATCCTTTCCGTGGCTCCGGCTCGGAATTTCTGCAGACGGAGAAAACACACTGAATTCCCGACTTCAGGAAATAGCAGCCACCTAATTTCCCTCGGGCTCACAGGGTTATTATGGGATGCCTCAGGGAATGGGGCATCCCTAAATCCAGGGCCATAAAAGCTGTGCCCAAGTGGGGATGATTCCCATTGTGCAAAGATTCAGAGGCATGGAATGAGCCTCTGGAAGATCCCTGGATAAAAACATCCCTGGTTGGGAAAGCACAAAGCTGGGAAGTTTAAGAGCATGGAAAGATCTGAGCCTGCAAATCACTGGGAAATCCCAAAATCATGGAATGGTCTGGATTGGAAGAGACCTTAGGGATCATCTCATTCCAATCCCTGCCCTGGCACAGTTTTCCCAGAGAAGTTGTGGATGCCCCTGGAAGTGTTCCAAGCCAGGCCAGGCTGGATGGGGCTTGGAGCAACCTGGGATAGTCAGAGGTGTCCTTGTCCATGGAATGAGATGATCTTTAATGCCCCTTCCAACACAAACCATTCCATATTTCCATGGAATGCTTGATCACCTCTCCAGTGGGACCTGGCAAAGAGGAAATGGAAAATTTTGCATTTCCATGGACTTCAGCTTCCTTAAAATTAATTCCTTGTATTTGAAATTCACCAAGTGCTGCTTCCTTTGGAAAAGGGTCTGGGATTAACAGTGGGATTTTCATTTAAGGGAAAGATTGGAGCTCCTAATTGGTCCCATGGAGACTGAGGAATCAGAGTGACTCCAGCTGGTCCATAAATCTGTGGGATTAATGCTTTACAGCGATCCATGAATTTGATGAAAGGAATAAGCTGGAAGCATAAGATCCCAATTATTCTGGAAAAGCAGTGGGATTTGAGGAAAACACCCCAATAGCTGCATAAATATTGTGTGTGAAACACTCAGGAGCAAACAGAGGAAAGTTTGATCCAGAATTGTCACTTCTGGATTTGTCCTGGAGGGAATCCACCCATCCTGTTGGCTCCCTAGGGAGAAAAAAAATCTAGGAATCAGAGGAAAAAGGGGAAAGGATCAGGAAATCAAACCAAGATGTAAAGAGAAGGTGCTTATTAAAATTTCAAGGTTTAATTTCAAATTTCGAGATGAGCTCTCCGAGAGCTTGACAGATCCAGCGACAAATATATGCAAATATATGCAAATGAGACAGTTCCAGGCTCCCCCTCTGTGCTTCCAGAGCCACAGAAATCCATGCAGACTCAACAAGTGGGAAGTTTCTCTTCTCTGACTCTGTCTCTTCCTGCAAATTCCAGCACGCTGGAGTCCCTTCCACCTCTGGCACAGATTTATTTAGAAGCAGCCAGAGGATTTTAAGGGAATTTCTGCAGAGAAAAGGAAAGAAAACCACCTGGAGACACAGGGAAGAGGCGTGGGAAGTGCAGGTAGGATGATGGAAAAGGCACAAGTAGAAGCATAATCCAAACCCAAAATAAAGATCGTTGTCTGGAGGGAAAGCACTGGTAATGAAGGAAAGAAAGGAGTGGGATGCAGAAGACACTAGGATGGCTCCACAAGATATTCCAAGAGGGTTAAAACCTCTTCCCTGCAAGGAGCCATGAAAGGATTTAGCAAATTAATTTGACTTCTGCTGGGAAGCACTAAAGCTGTTCACAGAGCTGAGGGGTTTTTTTCCTGGCTTCTCCACAAGATTTAATGGGATAAGTTCTCAATCTCTATCCAGGCTCCTATGCCAGCAGCAAAAAAGTGCTGGAAAAGCAGAAGCCCCTGATATAAACCCAAAGCCTTGTGAGGTTAAGTCAGGAATTCAAGGTTTTCTCGTGATCTCCACACATTTTGTTTTCCTCAATATTTATGAGGCTGGCAAAGTGCAGGAATATGAGATTGCTGCACATCTTCCCTCAAGAGGCTCTGCCTTGATCCCAAAAAATCATCCCTGGCTTGCCTGGATCAATAGAATCCGTTCCATGAGGAACAACCAAGCCCCATCTGCAGGAGCTCCTGAAGCATCACAGGAATGTTGTAATTCCACAAATCTTGGAGCAAGAAGGAAATTTGTAAAGTATAAAAGGTCATCTTTAAATCCAAATATAAATGTGGAAAATAAGGAGTCAAGGGAAGAGCATTCCACCTTCCAACAGTTCAAAGGATCCCAAAGCTTTTCCTGTCAGAGTTCCAACTGAAAACTAAAAACCACAGAATGAGTTTCCAGGGATTTAAACATGACTTACATAAAGGGAGGAAAAAAAATCCCACCAAAATCCCACTGTTGGGTTCCAAAAGGGATTTTCCTCACTGAATTCTTTGCTCAAGCTCTCAAGGTCACCCCTGCAAGGTCAAAAGAAAAAAAGGCTCTTTCATCCAGGCTTTGGAGACGACTTGAGGACACCTGGAGAAGGGAATTTGGGGGTTTAAGAAGTGGCTCTGGATATAATCAGACTTTTCCTTCCTGGTTTAAAGGTTTAAAGAGCAGAGAACTCTTCCATAAATTGTGGAGGAGCCATGCAACAGCAGTTTTTTTTGTAGACAGGGAATGATGGATGAGAAATCCATGAAAATGAGTGAGGTGTGGCCAACCCTGATGTTTATCACCTGTGACAAAGCAGGATTAGGGTCAGGAACTGGACTCTGTGATCCCAATGAGTCCATTCCAACCCACATGTAATAATTTTATTGGAATACAGCTCTTTAGGCCCAGAAAAACCCAGGGAAATCCTTCTGTGTTTCACCCTCACATGGAAGTGACAATGGAACCAAAAATCCTCATCCAGGCTCTCCACATGAGGAGAAAAAAAAGATTCCATAAGACCCTTTCCAGAGGGAATCAAGCTCCCCTTTGATGGAGAGCAAGGATTCTCCAGCCTTATCTTTGCAGGGAATGTTTGGAATGACTCAAGAGTGTTTGTCACTTCCAACCACCTCTCCCAGTTCCAGAGGGCCCATCCAGGGTGGCAATTAGGAGTCCTTAGGGAATGTTTACTCAGGGTGGACTTTGAACTTCCCACCCCCAGGAGATGAAGCCTTGGGTGACTCCTGGGTGACAGCCACACCCCGAGAGTGATTTGTGACCTGGGAGACAAAGACAAGGCACGCGGGACAAACTGAATCACCTGGAGGAAGATATGGAAGCCAGTAATTCCAAAGGGTAATTCTGTGACAAAGGGATTGTTTCTGCTCCTTTGTAGCTGGAAGCAACAGAAGAGAAGTGAAACTGAAGGATATTAAGTGAAATGTGGGAAGTGCAAATGGGACCTTTGGAAGTGCTGTTAAAATTTCAAGGAAGAGAGAAATGGAGATGAAGACCCAGATCCTGAAGAACTGGCACAGATCAGGAATGTGTTGGTAAAATCCAGGCACGGATCTCTCCAGGGAAATGAGGAAGGGGTTGGTAACTGTGTTATAGCCCCAGCAGGAACTGCAGGAAAAGCTCCTGGAGATACTGGGAGAACCTGGCTGGATCCCAGAAGCTGCTCCACAGCTCAGCTGCCCAAGACTGGACCAAGCTGGGCCATGTCCAAGACCAGTTTTGGCCACAAAGGAGTCACCACCAGGATTCCTCCCAATTAGGGAAGCTGGGGAATGCCCAGAGAGAAACTGAGGAAGTTTAATTTGAGTGGAGACTCGAAACATCCATAATGTGGGAAGAGGAGTCATCAGCTGGTGCTGAGCTCAGCTCCACAGCCAGCCCCACCTCCAGGGAGAAACCTTCCCTTTCCCAAGGAGGGAATGAAGGACAGCAGGACTCCAGCCAGTCTGGATCGCTGCCGTGGGCATGGGCAAACACACTGAGACCCTTTCGTGCCAGGAAAAGGGATATTGAAGGGATGACAGAATCATGGAATGGTTTGTGTTGGAAGAGACCTTGAAAATCATGGAATTCCACACACTGCCATGGGCAGGGACACCTGCAACTATCCCAGGCTTCTCCAAGCCCCATCCAACCTGGCCTTAGACACTTCCAGGGATGGAGCAGCCACAGCTTCTCTGGGAATTCCATTTCAACCCCTCACCACCCTCACAGCCAAGAATTCCTTCCCAATATTCCATCTAATCTCACCCTGTTCCAGTTTAAAGCCATTCCCTGGTCCTGTTCCCCCATCCCTTATCCAAAGTCCCTCTCCAGCTCTCCTGGAGCCTCTTCAGGCACTGGAAGGGGCTCTGAGGTCTCCCTGGATCCTTCTCTTCTCCAGGCTGGACATTCCCAGCTCTCCCAGCCTGGCTCCAGAGCAGAGGGGCTCCAGCCCTTGGAGCATCTCCATGGCTTCCTCTGGATCTGCTCCAGCAGCTCCAGGTCCTTCTGCGGTTGGAACCCAAAGCTGGACCACGATCCCTGATCCCAACCCCATCCACTGGGCCCATGGTCTGTGGCTCCAACCTCAACCCCATAAATTTCTCCCACTGAACACCCACATCATCTCCCACTCCAAAAAAAATAAACAGATCAGGGATTTATTTCCATGCCCTCTCAGCAGCACCATCACTTCCTAACAAAGTTTTTCCTCCAAGCAGGAAGTTCCAAAGTGCACAGATGATTCCAGGCTGGAACAGGATAACTCTGAGCACCTGTTTTAATTCCAGAATCACACTGGTCTTTAAAGCATTTCCACAGAGCCACAGCTGTCAGCTGGAATTTTTATTCCTCTTTAGAATCCACAAGTTTTTGAGTCAGGCCAGCACAGGAGAAGTGGCCAAGTGACCCTGCTTTAGCCACATTGTCCTGTGGGACAGAGAGGAAAACAAAAGCCAGGGAAGCACTCCACACACAAAAACAGGCTTGGAAATTCTCCTTTTTTTCCCCCCCGAGGGTTATCCAGAATTTCCTTCCTTTTTTTTCCAGCCAGAAGCATTTAAGAAATTAATATGAGCTGTTATAAGACAAGCAGGAAGTGACAACAAGTGGGTTTTTACTCCCTGAAAATCTATTTAGATAGGAAATTCCCTGTCATGGAATTAATCTCATGGAGCACCCTGGCTCCGAGCTGGGTTTCTGTGGGAGACAGGAGCAGCTAAAACCTCTAAAACCTTTTATTGAGAATATGGTTACATCACAGAGCCTTTGAACAAATGAGGGGAGGATTAAGGTTTTAAATTTCCCAAGTGGCCTCACTGGTGGCTCATGCAGTCAGCAAGAGGAAGGAAAAAAATAAACCCAGGGGTGGGAATAAAAATCTGGGGGATTGGGGTTTTTTAAACAGCACAGACTGCAGTTAAAAATTGAATTTTAGGAGGGTGAAAGTGCTCTGAGGAGGTGGGGGAGGCACAGAGTCAGGGCAAGGTGCCAGCAGGAAACAGGTGGATTAAGTCTTCACTCCTAGGACAAAACTTGGCAAAAAAAAAAAGGATTAAAAAATCACTTTTTCAGCAGCATTCAGGATCCTCTGCAAGGCAGAAAATATGGATCCTGATGTTGTCAGGGTGATAAAAAAACAGCAGGAAAAGATTGTATTGATAATTTCTTTTAAATAACAATAACAAAAATAACGTAATAGAGCTGATCAGGTGTTCCGCTCCTTTAATTAAAAAATAATCATATTATGACAGAACCTGCTGATGCCCTGCCCAGTTCTCCCTCCAAAGCCTGGCAATATTTTCCATGTTTTGCATTGTGCTCCAGATCCAAAGAGAACAAATTGGGAAAAAAGTCCCAAATCCCTCCTGTTAATCTTCCCTCACGAGCAGCACCTGCTCTTTAGACAAGGCCCCGAGTTAAACCCCGACCTGGTTTAAGGTTGCAACCTCTTGAGCTGCAGCCCCAGCTCAAGTGACTCCAGATCAGATTGATCCAAGGGGAAAAAAACAAAAACAAAAATCCCTTCCAGAGCTTGGCTAAGTTTGGCTTTTTTGGTTATTTGGGATTCTTTTTTAGGGGTGATTTAGGTTTGGGACTTTTTGCAAGAAGAGCTCAGATTATGGAGTGCACTCGCTGCTGGTTTATCCTGTTGGATCTCCGGGGGCAAAACTGAGGGGAAAAATGCTTAAACAGTCCCAAAAATGAAAATTTTCCACACGTTCTTGCTCACTAAAATTTCTCTGACCCCAAGAAACCAGGGGCTGGTGGGAGCCTGAGGACAATTCCCACTGATTCCACCCCAATTGTTATTAATTAAACAACACCAGAAAATCAATCAGCCCCATCTCTCCCACACATGCCAGCTTTCCCTGGGAGCACCTGGCTGGATCAACTTCCCACGGGCAAGAAAGAGGTAAAAAACCCCAAAATCTCAGGGAATGATGAAGTGAAGAGCAGATGCTGGGAAGCTTGGGGATGGAGCCAGCAGAAAAGATGGGATTCAGGAGCAGAGTTTTAGGGATGAGGAGCTGGGAGGGCAGCAACAACACTTCCACCCCTGGCAGGGTTGGATATTCCTCTGCCCCCATCCATGGGCACAGCCACATCCCTAGGGATGGGACAGGGATATGGGGCCATCCTCACCTTCCGTGTGCTGCCGCTCTTCGGGCCGTGCAGGAGGACAAGGCCACCGTCCCTGTCCCCATCCGGGCTCTCCTCCTCGGGGGGAGTCATCTCCAGGGATGCAACATCCACAGGCTGGGAATGGGGGGCTGGAGCTGGGGGGCTCCTGCTTGAGCTCACAAGGGGGTTTGGGGGCTCGGCGACCCCTCCTTTAGTCCCACCAGGATCCAGATCCCAAGACTGTCCTAAGTGGGGACTTAAACCCCTGCTAAGCCCTGCTCTGCTCTGTTGCAAAGCCCCCCGGCACTCAACATCTGGCCAGATGTGAGCCCACAGCTTCCCTCCCAGCAGAAATAATTTAGGGAAAAGAGGGGACACAAACCCCCTTTGTAAAGCTACCCCAGGCAGGGGGATGTTAAATCCCACCAGACCCTAAATGGGGGATGTTTAAACCCCCCAAAACCCGCTTGGGAGAGCTGCTCTGGATGAGGGAAAGAGGGATTTAAACCCCCAAACTCCCCTAAATAGGGGGGTGTTTAAACGCCTACAAACTCCCCTTATAAGAGTTACTCTAAATGGGATGGTGGGTTTAAACTGAGACACCCAGAGCAGGGAGGGAGCCAAACCCTCTAAAAACCCCTTTACAGGGCCACCCCAAATGGGGGCGAACCCCCCCAAACTCCCTTTTAGAGCAATCCTAAATGGAGGGGGGGGAGGGGGGGAGGGAAGTTTAAACCCTCCCAAAACCCCTTTTCAGAACTACCCTAAACACACGGAGTTCAAACCCACCTCGAACAGCGACCCCAGATGGGGCGAGGGGTTAAACCCCCCTCCCCTCACAGCGTAAACGCCCCCAAAAACCCCCTCACAAAGATGCCCCAGCCAAGGGACCCCCCCAAACCTCCTTCCAGAGCCAAACCCCGCCGATCTACAACTCCACAGCCCTTCCTCGCCCAGACCCCACCCCGGGGTGCCCCGGAACCCTCCGGCCGTGCCCCCGCTCACCCCCGGTGCCCCCTCAGGCCCCGCAGCGACCGCGGCGGCTCCGCCGAGCGCGGGGCATAAGCAGGACGGAGGGGCGGGGCTTAACCACCAAGCAACCAATGAGAGCGCCGCACAGCCTTGATGGACAGTGGTTCTGTCCAATAGATGCGCGGGATTGGGGGAGGCGGTGGAGGGGGAGGAGCGGAGGGGCCGTTGTCCGTGGCAACGGTGGGAATTAGAACGCGGGTGACGTCACGGGAGGCGGGGCTCCAAGCCCCGCCCACAGGCGCGGCGGGACTCGGGCCGCCCCTGCTGGCCGCACATCTGGGGGGCTCCGATCCCGGTCCGGACACATCTGGAGGATCCCAGCTAAAACAAGGGGCGCCTTCCGCCTCCCGGATACATCTGGACGGCCCCCGACTCCAGCCAGGCGGTTCCCCCCATTCCAGCCACATCTGGGCCTGTCCTCGCTCCCTGCCTCACATCTGGGTGCTTGTATGTTCCTACCCCGGCCACATCTGGATGACCCCACCTACCGCAAGGAGCCCCCGCCCCCATCCCAGCCACGTCTGGGCTACTCAGCTTCTGTCCTGCCTCTCGCCTCTAGCCACATCTGGGCAGTCCCTCCCTCATTCTGCCCCTCCACCCCCGGCTCCCCCCTCCTCTCCTCAACATCTGGGCTGCTGTGCCCTTGCCCTGTTGGTAGCTGGTCCTGTAGAAACCACATTTTAATATGAAATGTAACGAAAAACTGATGAAGAAATAAAATCAAATCCACTTTATTCCTTTTTGCAGGCAAATCCTGCCCTGTATTCCTGCTCTGAACCTTTGTCGCCGACCACAAGAAGGTTCCTGAGTCTTTACGTGGGCCACAATGAAATTAGTGAGTGATAAACCCCATTTATATCAATGGGAGACAGGGAATTCCGTGAGGATCCAGCTGCTTATTGAGTGGAAAATGTTAGCCCAGGATACACTAAATATTTTATAGGGTGTGGATTTATTTTCTAGCTGCATTTATTAAGCCCATTCCACCTTTCCCAGTTATTTTTTCTCATCAGGGCTTCAAGGGCTGTGTGATTCCAGCAAAGGGCTTCTCTCCGTCCAGGATTTTCCAATCCAAAATGAACAGCTGTAGTAGAAAAGTGGAATTACTGATTAATCTGGAATATTTCATGGATACCTCCCCCAACAGCTGCTGTGGTGTCACCAAGCAGTGCAGGAATCCCATTCCACTCTGGTTTTCCCCAAGGATGAGCCAAACCCACTTTGTGTTCCAATTTTCCCAAGCAGACATCCAGGTGGAGCTCCCATTCCAATTCCAATTCAATTTCCCATTGCAAAGAGCATCCACGAAAGGGAAAATCCATAAAAATACACAAAAACCTCAGCTTAATTTTTAATGGATTTATCCAGGTTGGGCTTGGGTGGGATTGAGGAGCAAACTGGAGCTGCTTCAGGCTAGGACAGGTTTTTCCCAACTCAAATCCCTGCAAAACCCTTCTTTTCCTATGGTGGACACGGAAAACTTAGGAGAAAGCTGAGTAAATCTTATGGAATCCAGGGAAAAGGGGAGAAATTCAAACCCATGCTCCAAGTCCTTGGAAGGAGGCGGGCAAGGGCGAACAAGCCCAGGCTTGCAGTTGTCCTTCCCTGCTCCCTTCCCCGGGGCTGGCTCCCATCCCTGGACAACCTCCACTCATCCAGCCAGAAAGGTGGCTTGGATGTGTTTTCCCCGGGATGGCGCAACAGGGATCAAAGAGGCTTTCCCAGATTCCAGCCCTTCCTCCGGGGGTTTCCGCTCCCAGCAGCGAACTGGGCGGGGCCTTCCCAAGGGAATGTGGGGTCCCCCCGTCCTGGCTGGGGATTCCACCTGGAGCAGTGCCCTTTACTGACACAAATCCCTGAGTTTCCCTGGAATTATGGGATGGTTTGTGTTGGAATGGGCTTGAAAGGTCATCCAGTACAGAGGGCAGGGAGACCTTGCCCTAGAACAGGTTGATCCGAGGCCTTGGACATTTCCAGGGATGGGGCAGCCACAGCTTCTCTGGGAATTCCATTCTGGCCCCTCACCACCCTCACAGCCAAGAATTCCTTCCCAATATCCTGTCTAATCTGACCCTCTTCCTGTTTAAAGCCATTTCCTGTGTCCTGTCCCTCCATCCCTTGTCCCAAATCCCTCTCCAGCTCTCCTGGAGCCCCTTTAGGCTCTGGAAGGGGCTCTGAGCTCTCCCTAGACCCTTCTTTTCTCCCCTAATTTGGGGAGAGCTTTTGCCCATTACCCCAATTCCCCATCCCACTCCCAGCTGTGCTGCTCACACCTGGTTTGGGATGGATGAGGACATTGGGAGGCTCAGCTGGGATGAGGTTCTTGATGACATCAAGGGCAGATTGGAAGCAATGGACTCATCCCATGAAAAGAGCTGGAGAGGAGTGGGATGGGTTTCAGGATGAGGGTTAGGTTTCAGGATGGGCATTAGGACCCAGTGGGATCTGGGCTTTGTGCCCAGACCCCTCTACATCCAACCATGGAGCTCTGGTGAATGAGAATCAGCTGAGAAAAGATGGATTTGGGGATTAATTTAATTATGTAATTGAAGAGGAAGTGTCTCCTATCAAGTAGTTTTTTCCTGATTATTTTTAAATCCATATTTTTGCCCCCATTCTCCACCTGAGTGGTCCAAAGTATTTCCCTGCTTCCCAAGTATCCTTGCTGAGGAGCTGCTGGTTGAGGGACATTCCCAAAATTCAGTTTTTGGGCTAAAACTTCATTTCCCAGGGTGCATCTTGGGCTGGGAGCATCCAATCAGGCTGAGGGAGACACTAAAGGAGTTTCCTGGGAGAGGGGGGCTTCCCTTAGGGAAGCAGGTGGGTGGAGAGTGAGGTTTCCTCTAGGCTGGCTGGGACTGGGAATGTTCTGCTGTACCAACTGAGCTTCATCCCAACTGCAGCTGCAAGTGCTCCTGGCACAGCAAAGCCTGGTAAAATATGGAGTTTTTCCAAGTGTTTTCTACTCCCAGAAAAATTTTCAGGATGTTTCAGACTGGTTTTCACTTGCCCCCTTGAGAAATCCTGGGGTTTTTTTTTCCCTCAACATGGAGGTTTTTCATCGATGGAGACCAGGAATATGGCCTGTATCCCTTGCATCCTCTTGAGTTTCTAGGGAAAACAGGGATTTGGGAGAGTCTGGCTGCTCCATGAGGAGAGGAGAGGTGGTGGTGGAGACTCAATATCTCAATTTACCCCATTTCTCTGCTGTGCTTAATTATTACTAATTTTGGTGGTGGAAGCTGTGAATTCCTGAACTATTTTAGGGATTTTCCTGTTTTTTCCTTTTATTGCCTTTTTTTTTGTCACCTCCAACAGAAGTTCAGGGACTGAGCTTAAGTTTTTTCAGCTTGGGTCATCATTAAAGCTGAGCTTGACCCTGTGGGCTCCAAACTTTGGGATTGAGCTGTTGGGGTTTCCTTGGGGAGCAAAACTGGGGTGGCATCAACCCTGTGCTGTTTCCATCTCATTCCAGTGACCATCCTTGGATTCTCTGCCTTAGCACTCCCAAGAAATTGTGGATGACGGAGCCATGGGGGTGTCAGAGGCCAGGGAGGTGAAGAGCAGCAGCAGGTGGGTACCATGGAGCACAGCAGGGAATTTTGTGGGGCTTGTTATCCCACTGGTTTTCCTGGGAATTTCACACTCAAGAAGAAAAATTCCTCCAAAATTCCTTTTGCAAAGCCATCTTTGGTGTTGCTGGGCATAAGGATTAGGAAGTATGGCATCATGCCGTGGTTTATGTTTACCACCAAGGGGTTGGTTTCAGTGGGATCAATTCTTCCTTATCCCAGGAAGCGAAAGAAGGAGTTGGAAAAGGAGGAGGACAAGCCAAAGGTGCTCCCAGTGCAGAAGGAGCTGGAATGCACAGTGAAGGTACCACACCCCCCTCTGTGCTTTGGCGTGACCCTTGTAATTATCCCAAAAATTCTGTGGGAATCAAACCCGTGGCACGAACTTCCTTTTCCTTGATCCTGCTCTGTCCTGGTGCGAAGCCTTCCGCGGTGAAAGGGAAGAAGAAGAAACCATCAAAAGCCAAGGAAAAGCCACTGCAGGAGAACATCATCAGCAGGTCAGTCCTTGGATTGGGATGGAGGTGGGATCTGCGGGGCTGGGCTTTTCCGTCTGGGTTATCCCAGAGTTGTGCATGGGAATGCCACGTCCAGCTCTGCTTTCCTTGTGTTGCTTTGATTATCCGAAGGAGTTTTTAGTAGGGAAAAATAAAGGGAAGGAAGTGACGGGAAAGGGGAATCACCTTAAGCTGAAGGATGGAAGGTTTAGATTGGATATCAGGAAGGAATTCTTCCCTGGAAGGATGGTGAGCCCCTGGCAGGTGTTTCCCAAAGCAGCTGTGGCTGCCTCATCCCTGGAAGTGTCCAAGGCCAGGTTGGATGGAGTGTGGAAAAACCTGGAATAGCAGAAGGTGTCCCTGCCCATGGAAGCAGCTTGGAACAACATGATCCCTTACAACCCAAACCATGATTCTAAAATATGCGTGTCCCTTCTCTGTCCCCTTCCTGGCCAAGAAGCTCCCTGAAGCAGGAGGCTGCAGATGGGAAAGGCCTTGGCTTGAGCCTCTGGAATGGGATCCAAGCCAAGGAGGGACCGGCGCCTGGATCGGTATGTGATGGTCGCTGTGCTGAAGGATTGGGGAGCATTCCCGTGGTTTGTTCCCAAGGGAATTGCGAGGGTTCTGTCTTGTAGTTTGGTGCAAGACCCTGGAAGGAGCTTTTGAGCATCCGGAATTAAATTAAGGAGTAAATTCCCTGGTTTTGGGGTTGAATACATGACATTTTGGTGGCACCTGTGGGGAGCACCAGGATAGGGGTGACTCTCACTTCCTAAGCAGGAGGATGGGATTGGGAATCCCTTCCTCAGGAATTTGGTTTTCAATGCTTTCCTTGTTCATGACCCCCCAGAAGTGTCCAAGGCCAGGATGAATGGGACTTGCAGCAACCTGG